TGGTGACACTTGTAATTCAGTGTAATCCACTTTGCAGGTCGATGGCTTTCTGAGGCAGAATAACTGGCAAAAGAGTCAAACTTTGCATTTTATAGTGTACTGTGATGTCTATAAATTGATATGACTCTTACAAACTAACAGATTGACAATAAATTTTTATTTGGTAATGTGGAATTAAGCCAATTTTTTTTCTTCTTTTTTGGCATTTCATTGAAAAAGGGGAGCCTTGTAGTCTTTTCAATTATTTTATTTTTCTTTTATTTTTCCAAAATAGGAACTGAGGAAAGAAACCTAAATGTAAATTGTCATTATCAAACAATACTAGAAATAATGAACTTTCTCAGCTCTCTATACATTTTTATTTTTTTAACAAGGCAACAACTTTCTGAGTAGAATAAAATAGGTAAGTATTTCTACTGACAAATTACAGGCAATATTTTGGGTATCTAAATGATATTTTTTCAGGTACTACTCAGTAGGAAACTTTAATCCTGAATTAAATACGAAATGCATAAAGGGGAGATTTTATTCACTAAAGCTTCTAGTGGGAGGTTTTTATCTTGTCTTGGCATGTCTTTGGTGCTAAAGGTAATTGAAAATTTTTCTTACTCAGATGTTTGAAGACCAGTGCCTACATGGCAGTGTGCTGGCTTTGCACAAGGCCTCTTTGCTCTGTCTGTCCTGCCTTGATAAATTGTGCTTGTTAAGGAGGTGGGGGCTGAGACAAGTATATTCAGTTTTTAAAGATGTAGAGACCAAGATTTGGAAAGATTGATCTAATCATGGCTCAGCTACATCTTTACTCACTGAGAGCAAAGGACTAAGACATCCTTTCTCTGGCCTGGCATGGTTGTGACCTGTTTGGTCGTGAACCATCTGTATGAGCAACAGTCATTCAAATTGGAACCCTTAGTTACTCTCACTAGCTCTTGCAAGAATAAAAAGTCATAACTAGTGAGAAGAACTTTCATTTTAATTAAAATGAAATTTAATTAATTAAAATTTAATTAATTCTCATATGACAAAAGCAATATGATTTATCGGGAAAAGTTAGACACTGTCATAAATCAAAGGAAGAGAATCAGAAATACTAATAATCCCAGCACCTAGAGGTAACCACTGTGAACTCTTTGCTGGGAAGGAGGAAAAAATTGTTTATAAAAAAACCAAGGAAGTAGTTACCTAGATAGATGGTCTCACATCTTTTAAGCTGCTGAGCTGGAAGGTTCTGGCAGTGCCATGTGTTCCTCCCACTTACCCCAAAATAAAACACATAAAATGAGAACCCTAGTGTTATTTTAAATGTTTGGGTATTACCCTAGCCTTTTAAGAACATTCTTAAAAAACACTAAAAAAATCACACTAAACCTTTACAGCCTATCACAATTCTCTTTGATCTCTTCAAGGAAGATGCCTTTTGGGTGAGGAGGATCAGTGGGTATCCTGACTCCCACCTCTACAGCAAAGATCCCTACATTTCTTTATCTTGAGCCCCCAACTTCCTTTTTTGAGCTTAAGGTGGCTCTCAGTACATCTTTCTAGATTTTACAAGTTCCGCAAACTCCTTAGGTCCAAAACAGAATTAATCTCTCCCTAAACCTGTTTCTTTGTTCTGTATCCCTCCCAACTGGGACCTTGAAATTATCCTAGACTTCCTTCTCATTCCTTGCATCCTGGCAGTCTAAGAGATCTGTTTATTCCTCCTCCAAATAATTCCTGGGCCCTGCTTCATTCTCCTGCTTGATTTTCTTTAAAAAATGCTATGTTGTTGATTTCTTGCCATTTTAATTTCCAGGTTTAAATGTACTGTTTTTAGAGGTAGTAACTCATTTAGAATATGTGAACATGAGAAGAAGGTCATTCATCCCACCAGCAAGTGATAGTTTTTGTTATTTTACTGTGTTACTTTATTTCAAAAAAAAATAAGATACATACTTGGGAACGAATGTATGGAACTGTTACATCTTGCTATGTTTTCTCACTTAAGTAGCATTTTTCATGTCACAATTCTCAGGAAACATTGTTATTCTCTATAAGGTGCTCTTTTAAGTTTTTGCTGAATAACTGATAATTATCTTTGTACATAAATTTTGGTCTGAATCTGATTTTTATTTTAGGTCAGTTTCTAGAAATGGAACAAATTATTTTCCATAAAATTTTCCTGTTCACCCTCCCAGCCACACTTGCCTTCAAGGGCTTGTCTTGCTGCAGGTCACCTGCACTTGTTGCAGGTTGCAGTTCAGAACAAGTCTGCCTGCTTTATAGGCTCTTCCTTGTTTCAATTTGCATAAAAAATTACTAACATTTAACATTTAAAAGAATGTCTCTTATGATACATGTTTACAAAATAATGTACTCCTGGCCTTGATGGAAGTGAGGGTGGTGGGTGGCAGCTGCTGCCTTCCTCCCTGAGTTCCCACACTCTGTTAACTCCGTTGGTAACTGGTGGTGGGGTGCGTAATATGGGTGTGTATGTGCCCCTTGACTGTGAGCCTCTTGGATTTTTAAAAATCAGCTTTATTGATATGTAGTTCACGTATTAATCAATTCACCCACTTAAAGTATGCAATTGAAAATATTTGGTATACTCACAGGGGGTAACCATTACTACAGTCTAATTTTTAGTCTTGAAAGAAACCCCGTACCCATAAGCAGTCAGGCCTCCTTTCCCCTCAACTCTCCCACACCCAGCCCTAAGCAACTGGAGCCATCCTTTGCGGTCTCAGCACCCAGCCCAGGGGTCAGAGTCGATGAACGAGAAAAGGTGAGGGTGAGTAACCTGGGCGCAGTCTCTCCACGGGACCTGTGGGCTCCATTGCTAACTCCACTTCGGGGTCGCGCAGCGCGCTGTCAGGGCGTGCAGAGTGCGAGGGGCAGCAGTGGTGGGGTTAAGGTGGCAGCCGGGCTGGGGGCCGACCAAGTGCACGATGGGCTGTGAACTTGGGAGGCGGGGGAGGCCCGCATGGATAGGGCTACCCGCTCCAAGGCGGCGGGCTCGGAGTTTGGCGGGGTCTGGGGTTCTCGTGGGTCTCCGCTAGACGCGGGATACCGGGAGGCTCCCGGGGCCGCCCACTGCGCTTGGTGTTGGATGGGGGCGTGGTCAGAGGGCGTGGCGTGGACGGAGGGCGTGGTCG